AAGCTGATGGTATCACAATTCCAGATTTTAAGTTATACTACAAAGCTACAGCAATCAAAACAGTATGATACTGGCATAAAAATAGACACATAGGTCAATGAAACAGTACAGAAAACCCAGAAATGAACCCACAACCATATGGTTAATCAATCTCTGACAAAGCAGGAAAGAATATCCAAGGGGAAAGAGACAGTCTCTTCAATAAATGGTGTTGGGAAAACCAGACAGCAACATGCAAAAGAATGAAACTGGACCACTTTCTTACACTATATACAAAAATAAACTCAAAATGGATTAAAGACCTAAATGTGAGGCCTGAAACCATAAAAATCCTAGAAGAGAGCATAAGCAGTAATTTCTCTGACATCGACTGTAACAATATTTTTCTAGATATGTCTCCTGAGGCAAGGGAAATAAAGGGAAAAATAAACTATTGGAACTATATCAAAATAAAAAGCTTCTGCACAGCAAAGGAAACAATCAACAAAACTAAAAGGCAACCTACTGACTAGAAGAAGATATTTGCAAATGATATATCCGATAAAAGGTTAGTATCCAGGATATATAAAGAATTTATACAACTCAATATCCAAAACAAAAAAAACCAAAAAAACAAATAATGCAATTAAAAACTGGGCAGAAGACATGAAAGATATTTCTCCAAAGAAGACAGACAGATGGCCAACAGACACATGAAAAGTTGCTTAACATCACTCAATATCGGGGAAACACAAATCAAAACTACAATGAAAGACCACCTCACACTGGTTGACATTCAGAATGACTGAATGTCAGAATGGCTGAAATCAAAAATGCAAGAAACAACAGGTGTTGGCAAGGATGTAGAGAAAAAGGAAACTCTTATCCTGTTGGGAGGAATGCGAACTGCTGCAGCCACTCTGGAAAATAGTACAGAGGTTCCTCAAAAATTTTAAAATAGAACCACCCTACAATCCAACAATTACACCACTGGGTATTTACCTAAAGAAAACAAAAACACTAATTCAAAGGGCTACATGCACCCCTATGTTTATTGCAGCACTGTTTACAATAGCAAACTATGGAAGCAGCCCAAGTGTCCATCAACTGATGAACAGATACAGACGATGTGTAACACACATACACACACACACACACACACACACAGTGGAATATTATTCAGTCATAAAAAAAGAATGAAATCTTGTCATTTGCAAAGCCGTGGATGAAGTTAGAGAATATAATGCTAAGTGAAATAAGTCAGTCCAAGAAAGACAAATACCACATGATTTCACTCATTTGTGGAATTTAAGAAACAAAGCAAATCATCATAGGGAAAAAACAGAGAGAGGCAAACCAAGAAACAGACTCTTAACTACGGAGAACAAACTGATGGTTACCAGAGGGGAGGTGGCAGGATGGATGAAATAGGTGATAGGGATTAAGGAGTACACTTGTCATGATGAGCACCGGGTTACTAAAATAAAAACTTAAAAATCAAAAGAGAAAAATCATAAGAAAGAGAAAATACATTTACAGTATTTATCAAAATAAATCCACATGAGTGGACCCGTGAAGTTCAAACCCATGTATTCAACGGTTAGCTATATTTGTTGTAAGAATCAGGTCACTAGAAAACCCAGAAATGAACCCACAACCATATGGTCAATTAATCTTTGACAAAGGAGGAAAGAATATCCAATGGGAAAAGGACAGTCTCTTCAATAAATGGTGTTGGGAAAACTGGACAGCAACATGCAAAAGAATGAAACTGGACCACTTTCTTACACCATACACAAAAATAAATTCAAAATAGATGAAAGACCTAAATGTAAGACAGGAAACCATCAAAATCCTAGAGGAGAACACAGGCAGTAACCACTCTGACACAAGCTATAGCAACTTCTTACATGATATGTCTCCTCAGGAAAGGGAAACAAAAGCAAAAATGAATTATTGGGATTTCATCAAGATAAAAAGCTTCTGGGTAATGGGTTTTAAGGGGGGAACTTGTGTAGAGCACTGGGTGTTACATGTAAGTGATGAATCAGTAAATTCTACTCCTGAAACCAGTATTACCCTATATGTTAACTAACTAGAATTTAAATAAAAATTTGAAAAAAAATAATAATTTGGTAAAGTAAAAAAAAAAAAAAAGATAAAAACCTTCTGCACAATGAAGGAAACAATCAACTAAACTAAAAGGCAACCTTTGGGAGGGGGGGAAGATTATTTGCAAATGACATATCTGACAAAGGATTGGCATCCAAAATCTATAAAGAACTTATAAAACTCAACACCCCAAAAACAAATAATCCAGTTAAAAAATGGGCAGAAGGCATGAACAGACATTTTTCCAAAGAAGACATACACATGAAAAGATGCTCAACATCACTCAATATTAGAGAAATACAAATCAAAACTATGATGAGATACCACCTCACACCTGTCAGAATAGCTAAAATTAACAACACAGGAAACAACAGGTATTGGTGAGGATTCAGAGAAAGGGGAACCTTCTTACACTGTTGGTGGGAATGCAAACTGGTGCAGCCACTCTAGAAAACAGTATGGAGGTTCCTCAAAAACTTAAAAATAGAACTACCCTAAAATCCAGCAATTACACTACTGGGTATTTACTCAAAGGATACAAAAATACTGATTCTAAGGGACACATGCACCCCAATGTTTATAGCAGCATTATAAACAATGGCCAAATTATGGAAAGAGCCCAAATGTCCATCAACTGATGAATGGATAAAGAAGATATGGTATATATACACAATGGAATATTACTCAGCCATAAAAAAAGAATGAAATCTTGCAATTTGCAATGAGGAGGATGGAGCTAGAGAATGTTATGCTAAGCGAAGTAAGTCAGAGAAAGACAAATACCATATGATTTCACTCATATGTGGAATTTAAGAAACAAAATAAATGAACATGGGGGGAAGAACAGAAAGACAAACCAAGAAACAGACTCTTAACTATAGAGAATAAACTGATGGTTATCAAAGGAGAGGTGGGGGGATGGATGGGTTAAATGGATGATGGAGATTAAGGAGGGTGCTTGGGATGAGCACCAGGTATTATATGTAAGGACTGAATCACTAAATTCTATACCTGAAATGAATATTACACTGTATTCTAACTAAATAAAAACTTTTTAAAAAATCAGGTCACATTTTTAGTGAAGAACTTCCCACATTTTAGATTTGGCTGGCTGCATTCTCATGGTATTGTTTAACTTGTCTATCTCTTTTATGTAAAGTACTAATTATATCTATGGGCTGAATTAGATTCAGGTTTAATTTAGAGGATTGGGCAGAAATATTTCATAGATGATATTGTATACATATTACATCAAATCAGGAAGTACATATCTGACTGTTCCACCATCAGCTAAAACTAAATACAGATGATTATTGCCTAAATCCATTGTTTCATTAGGGGTAGCAACAATGGTGATTCTTAAAATTCTGACTTTTTTTTTTTAATTGAGGTATAACTGACATACAACTTTATATTAGTTTCAGGTGTACGGCAAAATGATTCAATATGTGTATATATTGCAGAATAATCACCACACTAAATCTAAATTCTAACATTTTTAATACTGGAATTCTTCCATAAAGAAAAACTTTCCCTCACCAACTATTCAGTTATCTTATTAAATTGATATAAGAAAGACAAGTTAAATGCTTTAGTTATCAATTTTCAAAATAATGAGTTAGTAAACAAGCAACCTACAGTTACGTCCAATACTTCCTTTTTAAGTATCATTATAAACTCATGGATTTCTATATATTTAAGATATTTCATTCTATTACAGAAAATTCTAATGGAAACTTATGATAAAAAGCATTTTAGACTAGTGGGAAAGGATGGACTAGCTAATAAATAGTGGTGGGTCAATGAGCTATCTCTCAGGATAAAGGATATACAGTAGCATACTGGTAAATGCATAACCATAGGCTCTGGGAAACAAAAGAATGAATAGTTGGAATTTTAGCCTACTAAGCTAGCTCAGTATCTACCAAGTGATATTAAGAATACATGTAAAAGCACTTAGCATGGTGCCTAATACAAATGCTTAGTAAGTTATGTATGTGGATGTGTGTGTGGATGTTGTGTGGATGTGTGTGTATGTGCATGCCCATACATGCATGCACAGTGATGTGTTGCTAAATGTTAAAAACTGGCTCCATGGGGCGCCTGGGTGGCTCAGTCGTTAGGCATCTGCCTTCGGCTCAGGTCATGATCCTAGGGTCCTGGGATCGAGCCCTGCATTGGGCTCCCTGTTCCGCGGGAGGCCTGCTTCTCCCTCTCCCACTCCCTCTGCTTGTGTTCCCTCTCTCGCTATCTCTGAATCTGTCAAATAAATAAATAAAATCTTAAAAAAAAAAAAACTGGTTCCATAAGAAAAGAAACAGTTCTGACTTGTAGTGTTTGTCGATTTCCATTATATAAACACTCCTAGCGTAGATGATTTCACGCCACCAATGTAATGTCACTACATCCAGAGCTGGGGACAAACGTACACAACTCATTCTCACTAGCCACTGTGAGCTGACTCCTGCATACCACCAAATATTACCCACAGAGTCATACATTATAAAATTCAATTATTTTGTGTATATGTGAACACATGTTTACATGCATTTGTGTGTGTGCATGTGCATGTATGCATGTATATAAAACCAAAACACACATAAAAAGACCGGGAGAGATATCCAATGGATGATAGGGTTTTTGCTGGGGGAGGAAATGGTATAGGGTAGGAGGAGAAGGATATATAGAACTTATGTTTTATCAACTTCATTGACTTGTTTGCCTACTGCTTATGTATTTATTGGGTCAAAATAGGATATTTTATGTTCTCACTAATATTAACATTAAGCTCCAATATGACATAAATAACCAGCTAAATTAGATGTCATATTACACACACACACACTCACACACACTCACACACACACAACACACACACACAAACACCTTCTAAAAAATATACAACTTACTTTGGCTTCAGTTTCTCCCCTGTGAAGAGTATATAGATGATGGACAGCACTTTGTGATGAAGACCAAGGATGAGTCAGAATCTGGAAGACATGAAAGTCATGGCCAAGGGTGTCTGTTGTGACTAGAAGCATTCCTGAAAGACACACCAAAAAGAGTAAAAATAAAAACAATTATGTATGTGGATGAAATATTTTCACAAAATACTCATTATACTTTAAAGGGAAAAAAATTATCAAAGATGTAAAAAACTTTCCCCAATAAAAAAAATTAAAACACAGCACCTTTTTCCTGTATGAACACAAAACCTTCATGCCACATCAGTATACATCAGTATACATTTAGTGAGGACGCTAACTGTAGTTTTCTGATGTTCCCATATGACTAGTAGAGAAAGGTTTACCAAGAGTTCACAAGCATTTTAAAACAGCCAATCTGATAACAAAGAACGTGAAAATGACTTCTCTCCATGGAACCAAAACCTGCTCCCACTTTTTACCATTTCTCAAAACCTGAATTTTGAGTTTCAGTTTATCTACTAATACCCTACCTTAATTCACCAGTTTAAACTGTGTCTCTACCCTGGCATAACATTTATCCAAACTGCCTACAGTGTCTCACGGAGCAAGTTTTTAATTTTGACAAAATGTCATAGCGAAGAATTCTTTGCCTAATCCATGGTCACAAATATTTTGTTTTCTTGTCAAAATTTCAGAGTTTTATATTTTACATATAGGTCTATCATTCATTTTGAGTTAATTTTTGTAAAAAGTATGAGGTGTTGCACAAATTAACATTTTTGCAAATGATGTCCAATTGTTCCAGCAAGATTTCTTCAAGAGACTATTCTTTATCCACTGAATTCTTTATCCTTTATTTTTTATCCATTGTCAACTTGTCAAAGATCAACCAGCTATATCTGCATAGGTCTTTTTCTGGAAGTATTATTCCAGTCCATCAATTTCTGCATCTATGCTTTCATTAATACCACACATTTTTTTTTTAAGATTTTATTTGTCAGAGAGAGAGAGAAAGCACAAGCAGGGGGAGTGGAAGAGGGAGAAGTAGGCTCCCCGCCAAGCAAGGAGCCCAAAGCAGAACTCGATCCCAGGACCCTGGGATCATGACCTGAGCCGAAGGCAGATGCCCAACCAGTTGAGCCACCCAGGCACCCCAATACCACACTTTCTTGACTATTGTAACTTTATAGTAAATCTTGAGATCAGGTAAGAACCTTTTCAACATTATTTTGGTTATTCCAATTCCTTTCCAAACACAGAATCAGATTTTGATATAACAAAAATTCCTAGGATATTTTTTTGGGAGGATTATATTAAGTCTATAAATCAATTTGAGGGTGATGGACATCTTAACAATATTGAGTCTTCTGATCTATGAACACTTCATATTTCTTGATATATATCTTCTTTGACTTTTTTTCTTGTTCAGCACACAAATTGTAAATGTATTTTCCTAGATCCATTATAAATGCGACTCTTCATTTTATCTCAATTATCAATTTTTCCCTGCTGGCATATAGAGACATAACTGACATTTTTTATATTCTGCCAGTTCTAGGAAGGGTTTTTTTAGATTACATGGAATTTTCTTTACAGACTATCATGTAGTATGTGAATAAACATAATTTTATTTCTTCCTTTCCAAATTACATGCCTTTTTTTCCTTTTTCTTCACTTACTACATTTGCTGAGAAAAAAGGACTGGCGAAAGCAATATTCATGGCTTCCAAATTTTAGGAGAAAGCATTCAATCTTCAAGTATGATATTAACTTTAGGATTTTTTATAAATGCCCTCTATCAACTTGAGGATGTTTCTTTATACTCCTAGTTTGTTGAGAGCTTTTATAATGAACGAATGTTGAATTTTGTCCAGTGTTTTACACCTCTGAAATGATTATGTGGTTTTCTTCTTTACTCGATTAATATGGTGAATTTTACTAATGAATGATAATGTTAAACAAGCCTTGCATTCCTAGGATAAGCTCCACCTGGTCAAAATCCTTTATTATATGCTGCCAGATTCAATTAGCTAATGTTTTAAGGTTTTCATGATGTGTTCCTGAGGGATATTCGTTTGTAGGTGTCTAATCATGTGTTTGTCTGTTTTTGGAATCAGGGTAAAGCTGGTCCTATTGTGAAATGTTCCTTATATTCTTATTTTCTAGAAGAGATTGGGGGAAACTGCTATTATTTCCTACCCTTAGATGTTCAGTAGTATTTGCCAGTGAAACAATGTGGGCCTTTTTGTTGTTGAAAGCTCCAAAATCATTTTAATTTAATTTCTTTGTAATTTAAATTTTATTACTTTAAAATGGAAAATTGGGGTGTTTAAATGTTCTTGGGTGAATTACTTTCTGTAACTCAAGGAAATGGACTTTATTAATATCTGTAGGATCTTTGGTGATGTCCACTTTTTCATTGAGATTATCAATAATTTGTCTTCCCTCCTTTTTTCCTTGGTCATACTGGCTAGATGTTTTCAAGGAAATCTATTTGGGGTGTCACTGAGTTTTTCTTTTTTCTTTTCTTTTCTTTTTTTTTTTTTTTTTTTTAAGATTTTATTTATTTTTTGACAGAGAGAGAGACAGCAAGAGAGGGAACACAAGCAGGGGGAGTGGGAGAGGGAGAAGCAGGTTTCCTGCTGAGCAGGGAGCCCGAGCGGGGCTTGATCTCAGGACCCTGAGATCATGACCTGAGCAGAAGGCAGACGCTTAACAACTGAGCCACCCAGGTGCCCCAGCTGTCACTGATTTTCTTTCAATTTCATTGATTCATCTCCTATATTCCTCCTTCTGCTATTAGTATCTTCTGTTACTATTTCCTTCATTCTCCTTGCTTTAGTTTTATTTGCTCTTTGTTTTTTCAACTTTTTCTTTAACTCACATGAACACACAACCCTGAGATCAAGACCTGAGCTGAGATCGAGAGTCAGATGCTTAACCCACTGAGCCACTAAGGCGCACCTTTTTCAACTTTCTTAAGGTGGAAGCTTAGATTACTGTTTCCGGAACTTTCTTCTTTTTCAGAGTAAGCATATATTGGTATAAATTTCCCTATAAACCTGCTTTAAAATGGAATGAATTCCAAAAACTTGTTATTACCTTTTCATTTGCATTCAGTTCTAAATGTTTTCCAGATATTTCCTCTTTATTCATGGGATATTTAGTATGTTGTTGAGTTTTTCCAAGTATTTGGGTATTTTTCAGGTATCTTTCACATACTGAGTTTTAGTTTAATTCCATTATGACAAGAAATTTGTTAAACCTTGTTTTATATCTGAGACTAGATTGCAGTGACTGTTCCACACACACTCGAACACTTGCAGTGTTATAAAGGTCAGTTAATTGATAGAATTGTTAGGATCTTCAATATCCTTACTGATTGATTGCCTACTTTCTTGTTCTACCACTGAATAGAACCAAACACCTCCAAGTATTTTTTTTTCAGTTATATAAGCTCCCTAAATTTTAGACCTTTATTTTTTTAAGTCCATACACATTTAGGATTATTAGGACTTCTTTATGAACTGCCTCTTTTATTGAGATGTCCCATTTTAACCCTGGTATTTTCCTTGTTCTGAAGTCTACTTTTTCTGGTATTGATATCATCACTCTAGCTTTGTTCTGATTGGTGCACACATGGTATATACTTTTCCATTCTTTCACTTTTATAATCAATATAATTGTATTTAAAATGATTTTGTTTTAGACAATAATTGAGGTCTAATTTGGGGTTTTCTTAAATTCAATTCTGGACTTTTTAAATTGGTGTCTATAGTTCATTCACATTTAGCCTAACTTACTGGTAGGGTTGAGTTTATAGCTACCATTTTATTATTTTTTTATTATTTTTCTGATGGTTTCCTTGCTTTTGTTGTTTCTCTGTTCTTGCTTCCTTCCCTTTTCCTAGATAATTTCAATACTTTTAATATCCAATTTTAATTTTTCTATTAGCTTTTTAAATATCTCTCTTTATATTAAATTTCTGTTGGTTGTTCCAGAAACTATAATACACATATCTAAATTTGTGCGTGTTTGTTTATATTTTGTCCAGAATTTACATTTGTTTTCTGTGGGAAGAATGATTTATTAGCTCACTCTGCTATGCCAAAAGCAGAATCACATTTTTTAACTCTTAAAACTTTTCTCAGTTGAAAAAAAATATATGAAAGAATATTAAGCGCTAGTGGAAGATAAGGTCGGCATTTAAATGGAAAGATGAAGTATATGTGAGTTTGCTATCTACTTGGCTAATATAAGGTACAGCTCTAGTCACTATGTTAAATTCAAAAATGCCATACTAGACGCCAGTGTCCTGACTACTTCCAAAAGAATACATTTTAGATGATGAAAAGTGTCATTTATTGAGATCTACTTCAAACGTGTAACAGTTTATATAACATTGCCTCCCATTCTGCACCCAGCTATGGTCATGGGGTCACTGACATACTTTATATTCTTTCCATATTATTGTTGTTACCCAAACAATAAATTTCTAAGGTTGAGCATGAATGCTTAATTGTCCTTTTGTGGACAATATTTCTTCACTCCTACTTTTTGCTGAGTGATACTAAGTCTGAATTATCACAATTCTGCTACTATGCTTTGATTTCACTTTTCCACCACAAAATGATTTTCTGCACATGAGAAACAATTCAATGGAAACATTCTGACAGGAAAAAGATGAACTTATAGTACAAATATATGACTCACCTACTAAAGATAAACTTCATTTCTTTTAGAATCATATCAATATTGTACTCATAATAAGCACTGCAGTAAAAGTCCCTGTTAGCCAAATCAAGACAATTACTGTTTCTCATGTGAATGATAATCACAAATGAATACTTTTCAATAGGCTCCCAGCTTTTCAAACTGACATTAACAACTGTCTAGTTTCTAATACGTAAAACAAATTGAGATTTTTAGAGAAATAGGCCACTGAAAATTTATCTTTATTAGATTCTGTGTATCCTATCTAAAAAGTTTTCTTTTGGGGTGCCTGGGTGGCTCAGTCAGTTAAGTGGCTGCCTTCAGCTCAGGTCATGATCTCGGGGTTCTGAGACTGAGCCTTGTGTAGGGCTCCCCACTCAGTGAGAAGTCTGCTTCTCCCTCT